ATCGGTGGGCTGAAACACTGAAAAAACAGTAAATAAATTACCGTACCCAGATGCACCATTCTCATTGTTGCCCATAATCATGTTGACAGACTTGGAGTCCTGTCCTGGCTGCGTCGACCAATTTATCTCCGGTCACACTAAGAACTGCTCCGAGAAAGATGACGGTGGCCTCTCTAAACGTCTTCTCCTGTTCAGGAGCAATACACATTGCTGCGTGGAGGGACGTGGGCTCGACCCACGTTCGAGTCTGTGACAGCCCACGATCTGGCTCATTCCCGCAACTCGCATCATGTCGGGACGAGGCGGGCGGCGCCGGAGGAGTGCGCGAGGGCCTCTTCTCTTCTCAAGCTCCAATAGCATGTAGAAAAGAAACCCTTATAAGGAGGTCCAACTGGTCTCCAACTTCCGGGGTGGGACTAAACTTCCCACTACACCTAGTGTCAATAAACTTCCGGGGTGCCCTTAAAGATTTTCAGAAATTGCTAGATAGGCCTAAAGCCCACCCCAAATTTCACCAATTTGCCCTCTCATCGGTGACTAAAGTCGCGTGGCGCCAAACCAAACAATGATCATCTATTTTAAGACAATGATGAGATAGTTTGGAGTGGATACGAATAGTGAGTCAAAACAGAATAGGGAGGGGCAGGTAAGAGACTACACATGCATGTATAGTGAACTCGTACGTAGAAGACCTTTTTTCGAGGAAAATGCATGGAAGACTTTGCAACAACATAGAACAAATGGAAGTGCATGGGAGTCAATTTGACAAGGATTGATTCGTGGAAGGAAGAGCAGTCCCGTTGAAGTTTTCCATGCGCATGCGCATCGAAGAGCGGACTTGCGATTTAACGGTCAAACTAAAGTAAGGCCAGTTGCAACTTGCAAGTTGGTGATCAAGTGTTGATCGTTTCAACAAAGATATGCAGAGTGATTATATGTGGAAGTTGCATGCAGATAGGCGTACTTGGATGGTGACAATGCGCATGCGCGCGTGCAGTTAGCTCCCGGCCGCCTATATATGTTCCCTGGCCTCCATGGCAATCCAACACAAGCCACTGATATGATGAATGGATCCGACGTCCTTGGAAAATCACTCACTGCGTTATCAGTGACAGTTAAATCATCCATGATAATTAAACCATCCCAATCGACATTTACGTATCTAAATTAAGCCCACTGTTTGTTGGCATAGACCCGTACGCCGAGTACTTTCCGACGTACTTTGTACGACGCAATTCCAACGACCTGTGCTTTCGGCCGTTGAGATACACGCGTACGTATACAAGGAGCAAGCAGGCAGACAAGCTGGTTAATGGATTCTTGACATGAACTAGTACATGCACATGCACGTACGGAACTATCACGCCGGCTCCTTGATCGCTTAATCAACTCGCCGAAACTTACACACCCACGACGAAACAATACGAGGCGCCGATGGATAGCAATAGGTGCGTGTCGCACCTAATACTTTATTTCTTTGATCTGGTTCGGTACAAAGATTACAGAGGTCTATGTAGATATATATATAGAAACTAGGACAGGCAAGCTAACCTACACGGTTAAACTCTAATCCTAATACTACTACTAGTCCTATATCTACACGGTGTCTTGTTCCAGTCCAAACCGGACTTGGACTCGTGGTTAATTCCAACACTGTTCTGAGACATGCATGCATGCCAAGAGTAGTATACTAGTAATTGAAATCGCCATAGTTATGCTTGGCCAAATAGGGCCTGGTTTGATCTCATTTCTAGCCGGTCAATCCATCTTCCGTAGTTAAAGAAAAGTTGATCTTGTCAGCAGCCATCATGTCTGAAACTCTAAGTCATTTCACATTAATTCGCGGTTGCAGAACACCGGCTTTTCGGAGTAGTAGGGTCCCTTTTCATCATAAATCTAGGATTACGATCCAGAGTACTCCGTAGTACTACTCCACAAAACCTAGGAGCATATACAGATTACATTAATTCGACAGGGGTACACTGCATAAATGCACTACAGTTTGACGGTCCAGTAGGTATCTTCTCTGAATTGGTGTACTCGATAGTTAAACACAATCCATTCTGGGAATCACCGGGCGTCAAGATTTTTACTACTTCGCCGGTGATCAAAATTATGTTGCTTGTGCAAAGTAGTAGGTCCCAGAGGAAGGCGTAAGTTCTATCCTGCTGCTGCTTTGCAAAAGAGAAAAGAATAGTACGTTCTCTTCTCCCCTCTTTGCTAAATCGACATGCTATATGCCCACTTGAGAAGAGATACCCATGCATGCAAAATGCAATGCACACCCATGCACCAAGCTGTCCAATGGTCAACAAAGTGCTCAATCAATCCACAGGGAGCCGGCGGCCGGCTGGTCCCAAGTTATGGTCACTTGGGATGCATCTTTGGCTCAACTTGGTTTTTTGGAAAGTTGAGAAGCAAAGAGATTTCTCAACCCAATCCATGTTTGACCAAATTTTAACTAGCCCCACTCTTGAGTTATAAATCATTTTGGTTATAACTTATAAGACTAATGTCCTTCAATGTCAAGAAAAAGATCGTGAACGCGCTTTCTGGTTTGCTCGCATATATATAGGCAAAAGTCATAGCTAAGTGAGACGGGGAGCAGAATTTTTCAGTTTACTAAAAAAAAGTTTAATTTTCTACTTAGGTGTGCCGAGTGGGCATGGACCGAGCTAGACCACTTGGGTTGCACCCTGTCATGCTAACTTGTCGAAATCATCAACCCCATGTAGTACATGGAGTTAATTAAAGGTGCCTTTTGTGCCCACGTAGGATATGTAGCTTTGTTAAGACCTCCATGTTTCTTTTGGAAAACATACACGCATCACTCCTAAAACAAGGGCAGAGTGATGTACTAGAAGGCTAAACACGGAATGGGGTGAGAGCAGCCACTAAGGCCGGCACTTAACAACCTCTTGCCATGTGACCATAGGCCGGACCTAAAACTCAAGTAGACCCAAAACTATTAGCTTTTGCCAGGACCTTATATATTTTAAAAAAATGTGAACATCAACCGTAAGTAAAGTGCAAGTTGTCGTAATTTAACTTTGCTGGTCATAAACTTCCACGCTACAACCAAAACAAGATGGTAACTTGATTTACAAATAAAAACTAGCTAGACAAGAAAAACCATTTGGCAAGTCTAACCAGCCGTCAACTACCCCTCCCAATGCCTCACGATTCTCCCACAAAACAAAGACAAACCCCCCGAAAACAAACAGCCACTGGACATATATTTTACTAGGATCTGCCCACCTCATGTGCCAAGCGAACAGCCAGCAACATGTGTGTGCACCTTATAAAATATGCCTCTACTGGTAAGTAGCTGCAGATTGTACCTTATTGTATGCACCACATGTGTCTCAGTGTGTGTGCCCATAAAATAGGCGCCTTCTCGCCCCTGGGGCCGAATCAGAGGCGAGCAGCCGTGCTGACCTCTCTCTCCTCATCTTGTCTGTCCTGCCACAATAGCTGGCCCTGCAGCGGCAATTTCTAATTGCAAGAAGATAACCTGAAATAAGTTCAGAGACAGTCGACTAATTAAATATTGCCCTTAACAGACTCACGTTGCGAATATTATATCTGGATGCATTCATGATTTTATTTGGGGATCTTAAGTTTTGAGGTTGAAGGCAATACACCAATGGAGGATCAGTTTAATATGCCAACAAAATAAGACAAGCATGTTCGGTCTTCAGTGGCAGATCAATTGTGTGCAGCAGGTTGCAACAAGAGTAGTTCAAACTTAGCATCTGTATGTGATAATAACAAGACAACTAATAAGACTAAGCTTGTGCATGATAACATATCCAGTTTTAATTCCACGTATGAGCCTATTTGATTATTATAATACGGTAGTACTACATACACTTGGAAATTAAACAAAAGTATGTAGCACAAATATCCTTCCGATCTAGCTCAACCTGAAAGCGCAATGAAATTCTGAAGAGGCACAGCAAGGTCAAATCATCAAATTGCAATGCAAAATTAATATAGCCACTTGATGCAGCTAACTAGCCCACTTGGGTTAAACTCAACTTCATACTTGAACAATCAAACAGTAGTCCATACATACAAACACACACACATACATACACAAACAAATTATGTATGCCAGTAATAATATGAGCTAGCATAAAATACAGCTGTTTTGACACCTACCAATAAGCATGCATGTTGAAAAATCTGATCCAACAACTGGCATTTTGGGGCTCATCATCTGCCTAACTCGCATAAAGGCTCTCCCTATAGCATGACAAGGACAAGCTCACATGAGCTCAACCAGATAATCAATGGGCCCCACCCTAGCTAGCTAGCAAGCTAGCTCTCTAGCTCTCACACCCCATCCTCCTTCCTCTCCTTTAAAAAGCAAGCTACATGTATTGTGCCCACTCTTTCCCCCACCCCTCCATCATACAGTACATTGCACACACAACTACACACGTATACGTACACATACATACATACACACTACACACACTAGCTAAGCAAGCTAGGACAATTACCTTTGGTTGCAAGCCAAAAGCAAGCATCCATCCATCCAGAGCCAGCAGCCTCATCTCCATTTCTCCCCCTCCTCCCCTTCCTCCGGCCTCTCACCAAGAACCTTCATAGTACCCACCCCCCACCCTTCACATCCACCCTTCTTCCTCCTTCGCTTCCTCTTCTTGCCTGGACCCTGCAAGAAACCCAAGCTCTAGCAGGCAGATCGAGCTGTTCCCCTCCTTCCTAGCCAGTTCCACAGGTTCTCCTGCCTATTCCAGTCGGCCGAGAATTCTAAATTCCAATCCCCCAAGCTAGCCAAATATTTTAAGCCCACCCAAATCCTATACTTATAAACAACAGTAACAGCACAGCACTGGGAGTGGGAGAAGGGGAGCACCAGCTCGCTAGCTAGCTGCCGGTCAAAGGTCAAGGAGAAGGAGCAAGCAGGCAAGGGGAGGGAAGGGAGGAAGGAGGCATCATCTACCTAACCTACCTCTCCTCCATCGGTGCGCATGGAGTTCACCGCAATCAGGGCCTCCACCGCGGCCGCTGCCGGCTGCTCTTCGCCGCCGCCTGCGGCGGATCATAAGGCCGAGGAGGAGGCGGCGGGGGCGGTGGAGAAGGAGCACATGTTCGACAAGGTCGTGACCCCGAGCGACGTGGGCAAGCTGAACCGGCTGGTGATCCCGAAGCAGCACGCGGAGAAGTACTTCCCGCTCGACACCTCCTCCACCGACAAGGGCCTCCTGCTCAGCTTCGAGGACCGCGCCGGCAAGCCGTGGCGCTTCCGCTACTCCTACTGGAACAGCAGCCAGAGCTACGTCATGACCAAGGGCTGGAGCCGCTTCGTCAAGGAGAAGCGCCTCGACGCCGGGGACACCGTCTCCTTCGGCCGCGGCGTCGGGGAGGCCGCCAGGGGCAGGCTCTTCATCGACTGGCGCCGCCGCCCCGACGTCGTCCTCCCACCCGGGCACCACCGGGGCTTTGCTCTCCCCTCTGTGCCCTTCTCGCCGTGGATGGCGCACCCGGCCGGACCCGGCGGCGCTGGCGGCAGGATGTTCCTCCAGGCGACTTCCCCGGCGACCCTCTACGACTACGACGCCTACCAACACCACCACCAGCGGCGACACATCGGGTACGACGGGTACGGGGCGGCGCCCGGCAGGCAGGTGGTGTACTACCAGCCGCAGCAGCAATACCACCACCAGCACCCGTCGCTGGTCCTGGAGTCGGTGCCGGTGCGCATGAGCATGGCGGCAGCGCCAGCGCACCCGGAGCCGTCCGCCGTGGCGACGTCGGGGTCGAAGCGGGTGCGGCTCTTCGGGGTGAACCTCGAGTGCGCGGCGGACGCCGAGGAGGACTTCAGCGGGCCCGGGAGAACGGCGACAACGGCGCTGCAGCTGCTGTCACCGGCCTCCTCCTCATCGTCGTCGTCCGGGAAAGCGAGGTGCTCTTTGAATCTTGACTTGTGAAGCGCTAAAGTGTGGGCGTTCGCACGATCCACTACTACTACCACTACTGCTACTCAGATTCTGACACAAACGGGGTCGCCGCCGGCCGTTCGCAAAGGAGAAATTAACCTGTCGATCGGAGAAGTAAACAAATGCGGCGGAGGCGGCGGCCGCCGGTGCATGCGTGGAGCATCTAGCCTCTTCGTAATCTCTTCCTTTGGTATATAGCTCATGATCCCTCCTTAATTATTAGCCAGTTCAGTGCAGTGTGAGAAGAAACACGAAAAGAACAATTTAAGCAGCGGCAGCAGCAACAACAAAAAATCTTTCTATCTTGATTGATGCATGGTTTCTTCTATTTGCTCTGATTTGCATTCCTTCCACAATTTCCCCTTGTGTGCTTGATTATAATTAAGTTTTCTTAGCATGAACTCTCGTTCTTTTCATTTGGGGACTTAAATACAGGGAAATTATTGTGTAGAAAGAGAAAATTGTATCTATATAGCATGAGCCCATGACCGAGCCTAGGAGACATAGTGTGCTCCCCACATAAGATAACAATTAATATGCACCGTTATACACATACAATACATGCAAGTATCTTGGAGGTTGGATGCAATGTTCAATTAACAAATTGATTGTGCTGTAATTGTGCACATGGATTGTTCTTGTTGCTGCTGCTCTAGTGTGGGCATATGCAGGTCAATTGGGCTCTCCTTCCAAAGCTACCTAGCTGTAGGGTGAGGAGAGGTTGCCTTTAAAATGTAGCTTAGCAGCAAGCAAGCCAGTATGCCAGCCAGCCTTGTAGCTTGCTTGCTAGGACAGGCAGTCATGGCAGAGGCCTGGAGGTCAGACCCTAAATCCTTCTCCTACACATGCCTGCCTGCCTGCCTGCCTGCCTGCCTGCAATTACATACATTCATACACATCCATCTCTCCCTCTCTCTCTACGTCTCTCTCTCTCTCTCTCTCTCTCTCTCTCTCTCTCTCTCTCTCTCTCTCCTCTGCTCATATATACTCTCTCTCTCTCCACAGTAGTACTATAGCACTGTTGCACTGCTTGATTTGGCTTGGGCATTTGTCCCATGTGCAATTCCTTCGTCCCTGCTGCTTCAGCTTCTGCTGCGGCTGCTGTTTCTTCTGCGGCAACACCACGGCATCTATGCCTTGGGAGTGAAATGTTCATCAGGCACCGTACACCATGCATGCCAGCGTACATAACTGTATACGCAGGCAGAACTAAATGCCAACATGTGTGTATATGTATGCATGCATGCCATCCAGCCAGGCTTTGAGCTGCTACCAAGAAGGTGTAGTAAAAAAGGAAGAATTAAAGCTGTTCGTTAGTAAAAAGCTAGCTGCTTCCGTAGATCCTTCCCTCCTGCAGTCCTGCTGGACCTCGGTTCTTCCCCAGAGAGAGATAGAGAGTGAGAGATCCATGTGGGTGCACTGCAAAACCGCAGAAAGCACATTGCAATATTGCATCAGGTACAGGACGTAGGAGGCTATGCACAGCATTGCATGGCTCGATTAGTACTACATCGATCTGGATTCAGGTAGTACTACTGGGCAGTGATGAACCATCAGTAATCTCTGCATGGAGGAGTAACTTTGAGCCATGTGTCACCCATTATTAGGCCTTAATGCTGGGTATATAGTATATACCATCACTGCTGCCACAGCCCAACCCCAGGGCTAGCTGTTCCTGGGGTCCTGCATGCAGGTAGCTATAGATTTGGTGTTTTGGTAATTGATGATTTCTGTGATTAGTCCAGGCACCATGCATATGCCTTATCAGCGATTCAGTATGGAGTTAATGTAGCAGCTTTGTTGTTGCCTTTGCGTTTAAGATCGACCATGCATTGCATTGATCTTCATATCCAAATCTGTTTGCTGATATTTTTGAATTTTTGATTTCAAATTCTGGGATGGTACAGCTTACACATGTTTTTAATTTTCTCTATTAGGGAGAGGCATCAATCCCTGTCTTGTTTGGGTACACGTTTTATCTGACTCAGCCACTTTCGATTGGAAGGGATTTTAATTTTATTTTTATTTTTTTTGAATTGTTTGGATTGCTTATCACATATGCCATGTGGATTGAAAGGGATTTTAGTTCTGTGTTCTCTACCTATCCAGAGGATTTGTGTGAGACTATAATTTGTATGAAAATAGGTTCTCGATATAAAGGTGTATTACAGAAAACCATATCTGTATGCATCAGGCAATGCAGAGCCGAGGGGACAACCTTTTTTTTAAATGATGAAAAACCCAATAACTATACTTGGTGTTCCTTGTTTTGAGACACTTTTTGTACCCCTATTTAAAAAATCAATAAAAATACACAGCAGAGTACTTGGTGTTTAGCTAATTCATTACCCTTCATTTGTTCTTCAATATTGATCTGTGTATAGACTTTCTGTTAATGAGTGTATCCAGTGAACGCCTAGTTTGTTAGCAACTGATTCACTTGAATGTTACTGCTAATGTGGTGCGATCGAGAAAATGTTTCGGCTGTGCATATGTGTAGAACTGGCCATTGAAGGAAAACAATGTACTGCATTGTCAGTAGAAGAGATCTGGGTTGAGAAACTTAATGGAATTAATCTCACGAGATCTTATAGGACATACAATAAATATATTTCGAGTTAGGACAGAATATGGTTTCTTCCCTTATCTGATATAATATATCTAGGGCTACATAGAGCTGGAATTCAAACTATCCATCTAGTTACAAGTACAGTAATCATCTTGTATGATATACGAGTCAATGGATATGTTGGGCAATTTATATGATCTAGGACCAAACAAAAATGCATTAATCTTTTTGATGATAAACACTCAACCCTACACAAGTTAAGTGTAGAAAGGTAATCTGAGGTAATGCTTTCATATTTAATACAAACTGGTTATTGTTCCTATAGGTCTTGGACATGGATAAACAATCTTGAATTATCACAAGTTAAAATCATGAACATCTTGGCTGGAAATATAGTAGTTTGGTATTAGTGTATGAATGTAGTATATCGATATACCGTATATCTTCGTTAACCTGCACCATTATTAATTAATTCCTTTATCCTCGCCACTATATACATGCATGGCAAGTCTTCTCCTATTTCATGCTATTTATTATATCACTATTGTGTATTGTTATGAATTAGTGAACTTGACTGACCACAATTGGCCTCAAGTTAATGCAACTCTGCATTTGGTTTCAAGATGATGAGCATTTCACGTGTATAGCTTCACTGATCCGATATAACTTTGTTGATGATGTTCTGCCTTTTTCACAATAAACTGGTCGCAGCCGTTTGAATCTTGTTCCTCCGCATGTGTGGACTTTACTAATTTAAAGCCCAGCGCATCTTGTGCCTTCATTCTAAAAACATATAAACTGGATTGGATTATTTGCTCAAAACTAAAAATAAAATTAACTGGCGTATCTATAATCTTAGTACCAGTATAGTATAGCCAGGCGCATCTTGTGCCTTCATTCATATGCCTCTGGAAGAAACGGCATTACTAGGCACGTAAAGTGATTAGGTTAGAAAAATATAGCATTTGGTACATACTTCATGATCAGCATGCATGGTTGGCTTGGGGTAGTACATACTACATATATCTTCATATGTGTATTCTATTTATTTTTCCAAAACTATACATGCAGCTTTTTTCTCTTCGGAATTTTATGTATGATCTTTAATTACCTTGTGATCCCTGGAGTACATATGTAGTTTCCGAATACATACCCGTTTGATAGTATCAGAGTTCAGGAGCCAATTATCTCCTTCCACCAGATTTTCCATGATGTCTGGAATATGAAGTGTGAACAAGTGTAGAACGCATATGTACAGGTCTACACAACGACTTGTTAGTTATATGCACGTATCGCAAAAAGAAATTATATTCACGTTTTGAAGTTTGTATATGTTAATATTTTCCTGATCACAAATGTTAATCAAGACTAATGTTGATCCCAAATTGATATCTTGCAAAGCTTTATGTGCATCTATTGCAAATATAGGTTTAGAAATGTTCTCCACGTTCTGTAGAGTTGGCAACTCATAGTGTTATCTCTAGCAATTCATGATTGCATTGCATCCATCTACAAATCTAAGGTGGTTATGAGTAATAACAAAGAAGCAAGCCAAAGGGGTAGCATCCAATAAAAAGGAGAAAAACTTCTTCTGTATCACACATCTCTTTGGGGGATAATGAATCAGCAAAGAATCGCAATAAAAAATTATAATTTCATTAATCAGCACTATTGCAAATTCACAAAGCCAGTGAGTAAGGATGCAAAATCGAACAAAAGATATTTTAAACTTTCTTTGAAGCTAACTCAAACAAGTGGATTATACAAACTTAGACAATGTATATACACTGACAGAATTCTCAGGTGTATATTTAAGGATGTGTTATTAGGTGGGGGTGGATAAAATCCCAACTAAGGATATAGAATGTGCACCATCCATATATGATAGCATGACGTTCGAGCAAATGTTGGGCAGAGAAGCACTAAAAAGAGTGGAGGTTGCCCACAACATGGACATTGGATGCCCTATGAGTAAAAAATGTGCAGCCAACTAGCTTAGAGGAGCTCTTAATATGGACAATATCAGTGGTGAATCGTGGGGCAATAGGCAGAGGAAGAAGAAAACTTGGAGGTAGCAGAGATCGGAAACATGATCCACATACAGAGCATGGTACAATGAAATCTTGTGACCGGAGATGAAATCAAGGAGAACACAAAGGCGGGTGAGGAAGAGGGGGCAGCGAACATGGGCAGGGGAGCATGGGACTGAAGATGGCGGTCATGAGGGGGGCGGCAAGGAAAGAAGAGCAGCAACGCATTGAGCTTGTTGATGCCTAATGTGTGATCTCATGTCGTAGTACATCCAACCCATATATAAAATATCGCATATGTATGTAAGATGTTCAATTGAGTATGCCCCCATGACATACAAGGATAAGGTGTGTGCCAAAAGGTAGCTTAGAGCATTTCTAGCAGTTGCTCT